GTGGGGCATTTGCTCCTGTACCAAAGAACCCGGATGTGGGAGGAGGCAATGCTCATTTTCATATATCCACCAGGGCTCACTCACCCCCTCCCCATCTTCTGCTCTGAAATAGCCCAAAAGTTAAAGGAGACTGTTGGTGACAGAAAAGCTTCGGTTTGCACAGCTACTTTTTAGTTGGAGGACACCCGCCTTGTAGCAAGCACGGTGTGCATGGGTTTCCTGAGGACTGAGCTGGGAATCCAGATTAAAGTCGACACCAAGGACCACCTGACCTTCACAGCCTGGGCCATTCAGGTGGCCTGTGCTCCAGAGTACAGCGGGATGCATGTGGGGACATGCTGGGGCCGCAGAGTTGTCTGGCTGCTATTGCTGGGGCCACCCAGCGGGTCCCTGGAGATGCTCCTTTGGGAGGCTGAGCAGGATGCCCCAGGGCGTTTCACGCAGCAACCCCTAGACCCTGCCACAGCTGTCTAGTGGAGACAATACCCCCCTCACGGTCTCTGCTCTCTGCTCAGAAGGCCGCTTGTGGCTCCTTAAATCCTTGCTACGTGCTTGTTATAACTATGAGCAATTTAAAACAAGCATCCCAACCCCACAGAGGTCAGCGGCTGAGGCTGGAGCTTTGGTCTCCCTCCAGAGGCACCCACAGGCCTTCTGCCTCCTCCAGCCCCCACCAAACCCTAACTCTTGCCTACCTTGACAGCCCAAGGTTCTGAGCAGTGCCTTGGCCTGGGCCTGATCCGTCTTGGAGTCTGAGATGCTGGGGAAATGGGGACAAGCCCTGAGGTCATCAGCAATGGGAGGAGGCTCTTTGTTGATCCTCTCAGGAGGTGGAAAGAGCAAAAAGTGTATGTCTCCTGCATCTCATCCCTTGTCTCAGATTTTCCTAAAGTCTCTGCTAAATCCAGCTCTTCTTTTCCCCACCCTGGCATGGCTGCATCAGTTCCCACTTCCTTTCCTCCGCCTCCTCTCTTCCTCCAAGCATCCCACTGGTCCCTGCTCTCCCTCCAGGCATCCCCTGGGCCCCTGGGACTGCTGATAATCATCAAGCTGGGTCTGGCATTCCAGGCCCCAGCCAAGATCTATCAGCCCAGCTCTGCCCAGAGCCTGGCTGTGCCACAGACCAGGAAAGATAAAAGCAGCAGCTCACAGGGTTACACACCCTTTAACAATGCAGCTGCCAAGAACCTGTGTCCAGAGGGGCCTGCTGGAGGAGGCTTTGGGGCTGCTTCATATCCCCTGCTCCCACGGCCCCAGCAGCTGCTCTGCTCACCTGCCCCAGGAACTTGTCTCAGCCATCAAGGTCCCTGAATGGGGGGGGGGGAGGCCTCACTAGCTAGCTCTCCCACTCTTCCCCTTGACCTCAATTCTACCTATAGACTGCCCACCCTGCTTCTCTCTGCCCACCCCCTCGCCACCCACCCACAGGCCTGCCTGCCAGGTCCCAGGCTGAGGAGCCGCCATTAATTATTAAAGCAAACAAAAGCATTTCCTAGCAGGGAGGCTAGCCTGCAGCTGCTTACAGGAAAGGCAGCCCCAGCTGGCTTCCCTCTCAGGGCCCTGCTAGTGCGCTGGGACCAGCTCAAGGGGGAGGGCTGGCCTGGGTCCTCCAGGGGTCTTCCCAGGCTGAGAATCCCACCAGAAGCAGAGGGGAGCTACTTCTGTGCTGAGCACCCTAGCAAGAGGATGCAGGTTTGCAGGGGGTCCGGGGAAGGTGGGCTGGGGTTGGGATATGGGTCTCAGAGATAAAGTCCTGTTGGCCCAGGGTAGGGACAGTCACAGCTTGGCCAGGGGTCCTGTGCAGAGTTCCCTACTAGGGCGACCCAGCCAGCCTCTACACCAGCCTCTTCTCTTCCCTGCTGCCTCCAATGTAAGGGTATGCAGCCCCTCTTTTCTCCCTACTCCTCTTTTGCTCAGAACTTTCCTTCCTGTTGGCAGGGCCTCCCTCACTGGTCTTAGCAGGCTCTGAGCCTTCTCCTTCTTCTCCCTCTTCTGTAAAACCTTGGCATTGTAAAGCTAGGGAGCAGTAGCTGCTCCAGTATCTGGTTCCTGGGGTCAGGTAGGTCCTGGAGACCACTAACGTGGAAAGGGGAGTCCAACAGAAAGGGATTCGGGAAACATCTAACATGCACGCCTGCTTCCTTGAGCAGATACTCATTGCCCCCTTGCTGACTGCTCAAGCCTATCCTGGTGCTGTGCTAACAAGGATGAATGAGCCACCATCCTTGCCCTAAGGGAAGGTGCAGGTTGGCTAGGCAAGGAAGCCCAGGACAGGCAGGGCACAGCTGACTCTGGCCTGTGGCGAGCATCCTTAGGCAGTACTAAGAACCGTTCCCCGGGGACGGGTGGGAGGGCACAAAGAGAGATGGTGCTGGTTGGAGTGGGTCCCGGAGGCTATAAGACTTTATTCAGTGGGTGTGTGGGTGCTGGAGGCAGAGGAACTGTTTCAAGAGAAACAGCTAATTCTCCAACATTGCTGGATGCCAAGTATCATACAGAGGCTGGAAGGAAGTTCGGGGTCAGACTGTGATGGGCCTTAAATGCTGAATATCTGGGAGGAAGTGGGGGCGGGGGGTCGCTGAAGTTTTTAATTAGGGAGGGACATGATCAGAGAAGAGTTCTTTGGAAATATTGCTGTGGTCCCCGGTGCATGTCAGATGGTTCTGGGGGAGTGGTCAGAGGCTGGGGCTGGGGCAGCGGGCTAGGAGGCTGAGGTGGTCAATCGGGGTAGATTAACCTTCAAGCCAGGGAGGAAAGTGGTGGAGGGCAAGGGTGTGTCATTGTTAAAGGTTGGCCGTGGGCACTGAGATGAGGAGTAGGACCCAAAGAGAACGTCCAGAAGCCTTGATAACCAGGTGGCTTTGGGGCAAAGGCGAGGAAGGCATCAAAGACAACTGCCTTGGGGGGGGGGGGGAGCAGTGCTCCTGGGCAAGTTTCTCAGAGAAGAGAGGGAGAGAAACCAGGCAGAGGATGAAGAGGGAGGTGGGGACAGGGAAAGGCATTTTTGTTGTTGCTGTTGGAGGATGGGAAGACCTGAGCAGAGAACCGACTAAGGATCAAGATACAAACGGGGGAGATGACGGGCCACCTCGGGAAGAATGAGGAGAAAGGATTAGCCTGCTCCCTTATGGAAGGAGGTGGCCCAGAGGTAACCAAATGTTGGGGGGCTCCCAACTTGTGTCCTGAGACAGAGAAGTCTCCAGACTTGGAGAGAAGCAGCCCAGGCTTGAAGAAATGCCCCTCCTCCAATTGGAGAAGCCTTCTGAGTCCCAGTGATGTGGCCCTGGGGACTCAGACTGGACACCCCAACCTCACTAAAGATCCCCCCATGTGCAGACAACACTGCTGGTGGCCTGATCCTCTGGGAGGAGCCTCATCCCCACATTTTCTGCACCCACACAGGCTACAAGGGCACTTGCCTCCTTCACATCTGCTTCCCCCTCATCAAACCTGCTAACTCGGGGCAGAGACACAGGGGAGGGTGGGAGAGAAATAGGAACCTTAAACCCCAGAGACCCCACTGGAACTCCCGACCCACTCTTACCAGGAGCTCTCACCACCGTGGTAGAGAAGATGGGGCCCATTAAGAAACTGACCACCTCAAGTTAAATAAAAAAAAACAGAACCAACAGAAAAACAGGCAGGATACAGAACTGTATGCATAGCACAAGAAAAAACATGGTAATGGGCAGAAAGATGGGAAGGAAATACACGAAAATGTTGACAGTAGTTGTATTAGAGAGGTGGGATTTTGTTTTCTATTTTCCAGTTTTTCTGGAATATAGTTATATCATGAGTAAAACTTGTGTAAATTAATTCATAGGCAAGACCCTTTCTCTTCCTGAAGAGATGAGCTCCAGAGAGAGCCCCCAGTGCTCCCTCCTGACAGTCGTGGAAGGACAGGACCGCAGAAACACTGGTTAGCTTTACATATGGAATGAAGTATGTGTCTTTTAAGGGGTGAAGTTGGGGTTGGACTATGAGTGGTGTCCCCTGAACAGGACTAGGGATGTGAAGGTGTGACCCAGCTGCTGCGCCTGGTCTGTCCCGGCAACCCCCCACCAGAATCCCTGCAGGCTGCTGGACAAGCAGCTGCTCAGACCTCTGGGAAGCCCAGCTCCTCCTGCCCCAGCTGTCTGCAGAGGCAGCACCTCTTTAGTCCTGACCACTGAGAACTCCCTGTAGGCTGTCTTAACCTCCCCCCCTGCTCACAACTGGGGGTACAAAAAGCCCAGGGCCCAGGTATTAGGGCACACAGATCACCAAACCTTTAAACTTCCTTTCCAAATCTGGGAGTCCATCCCCCACCCAGGCCCCTGCCCAGACTCCTTTAAAGGAGTCGGAGGAGATGGGCGTGGGTGCTGGGTTCCCAGGGACCCCCTGCCTCCCGCAGGACCCATCAGAAAAACACCTTGAGGAGAGGCGGCCCTGAGCGGCCCTCCCCTGTCTCAGCCCCCATCATTCAAGCCAAGCCAACTGCCCAGCTCATCTCTTCCCCACTCTTCAGTCCCCAGCTGATTCTCCCCTCCGGCTCTGCACACCCCCCATCCTCCAACACCGAGGGGCGTGGGAAAGCAGAAAGGGGGCTGGATTTCGTGTCTTTCCTGGCAGATAGCAGCGGAATTGGACAGGGAGAGGCACTGGGACTGCCCAGGAAGGAGGGGTTGGCTCTTCTTGACAGCTGGTGGTTGTGGGTCACGGCTCAGGGACTTTGGGCAGTTGGGACACCTCCTCCTCTAGAGCCGCAGACGGCCAGGCCGGCGAGCCAGTCGGAAGTAAGAGCCCAGACAGTCGGGAGTGGAGGCAGAAGCCCCGCCCCGGCCCGCCCCACATCCTCAGGAGGAAGCATAGGCGCTCAGGGCAGGGTGGGCGGGAGAGCTCGCCGGGACTGTCCAGACTTAGGGCTCCTTCCACCCCTCGCCCCAGCAGCTCAGCAAGCTGAGAGAAGGCGGTGCGGAGCCGTCCAACCCGAGCGCGCCGGCTCCCGTCCGAGCGCTTACCTCTGCGCCGCGGTGCTGGCGTCTAGGATGCCCGCTCCCTGCATCCAGGAGCGCACCGAGCCCAGACCGGCGGGCAGCAGCGGCTCCTCCTTCAGGTTGAGCCCGCCGCGGGGCAGAGCGTCCTGCGCAGGGAACATAAGGGCGCGCAGTCGGTGGGCGCCCTCCCCGCCGGGGATCCGGTCCCGCTGAGGCTGCGAGCGTCTCAGCTCCGCGGGACCCGACGGCACCGGGCGCCTCCAGGAGCGCAGCGCGCTGCCGAGTCCCGGCGGCTCAGTGCGCGCTAGCTTCTTGGGCGCTCCCTCGGAGAAAGCGGGTCCGCGAGCGCCGGCGCTGTCCCCTCCCCTCCCGGGGCGCGGGGCGGGGAGATGGAGGGATTCCCCCGCGGCCTGAGCGCCAGCGGGCGGACTGCGAGCGGGGCGGGGAGGGCGGGAGAGGACCCGGCACCCGGTCCGCGCGGAGGCGCCCCAGAGGCGCGCTCTGGCGGCTGCCCAGGGCCGCGGTCGTCGGAGGGGGGGCCCGAGCGCCC